TATCTACTTTAGAATCAAATTTTAAGTATCTAGATCTTGTAGGTACTTGCTTACTGTATTATTTCATCAAAAATGTCTGTTAAAATACATGTTATTTTAACAATTCTAACGAATTTATATCAAAAATTTAATTATCATTAAATTGTATGATATATACAATTATATTATTATGTAGAGGAGCAAAAAAATAAATACATTATTATAATAAATTACAATAAAAATAATAATTCTTGACGATTATCATCTGATTGAATTATTAATAAATAGTATACACTTAAAATCCAATTTAAACTCGAATAAATTAAAACAATCGTTAATCTATATACCTATAATAATATATCTAAATAATAATGATATTTTAACGTCGACTGTGAAAAAAACACTTAACATCAAAATTATTCATATTATAAATTAAAATATACTGTATAATATCTACATTATATATCGTGTGTATTACAATTCTTTGTCTAAACTTTTATGTCATCTGGTTTATACATTATACGTGTGTCATAATATTATATAATTAATGTTGTAGGTCACAATCACACATATACCTACTAGTAGGTGTATGTGAAATAATATTATTTTCAACGTATACTTTAATAACATATATATATATAAATATATATATATATTTATATGTATTGCTTTTTTAGTTAACGGTCACTTTAAAATAACATGCTGCGAGTATTTATAACTATACAGTATAATATATTATGTATGTGTCATGGAGATTCATATTGTACAATATTACTTTTAATTATAATCAACAAGTAGCTAGCCATAGCACGTCGTCGGTGAAACAATAATAAAAAAAAAAAAATAATATATTAATACGAATATTGCTTGAGGCGCGTACATATTACATATGTATACAAAACGATGAATGAATATAAAATTAATTTCAATTAAATTATTTCCCGATCAATCAACTGAGCACGTAGCAAGTGTATATACAATGTGTACCTATACTGTGTATTTATACATTCGTTTCGTTGTTGCTATGCATTTGAGCATTAAACCAATATTACGAAACGTTATTACATATCATAACGACGTCGGTTAATAAAATGTAGCCAGTAATCACGATATTATACAAATATATACGAACGCACGACACAACACAGTAATAATATTATTATTTATTAGTTTTTTTATATAATAGTTGTAGTATCCACAAATTTAATAAAATTTCATTCGCACGCGTTCAATCGCATATCTAGATTATCTATTTAGCTAAACAAAAATCAGATTATACATGATAAAACGTTAACGTGTGGTCTGCCGAAAATCGTTTATGAAACTATAAATTGAATTTTACATTTTTTTTTCCACCTGTTTGTAGTCGGAATACATTTGAACAAACACTTACTACATTATTCACAGAGATTTTAGATGCATTATATTTTAAAACAGTACATAAGAAAAATTAAAAACCAACCATTTTGTATTTTCTGGTTTCTATTATAACTTTATTAATAAATGTCAATGAACATAATAACATTTTTATATATCCTTTTTCATATAATTAAATAATATGCTTCATCGTAGTAGTAATATCCATTAGCAATATATTTTTAATTTTAATGTTTTATTCTGATAAAACGTATACAGCATAAATTCAATTTCCTCACCTATATCTAATCATAGTTGACGAAAAGATTTTATTAGTTAATTTATAAACATATAAATGTTTATATGATAGACGATAGTGAGCACCAAATTGAATTTGGGTTTTCATAATGCCGGTGGAATTTACATTAATTCAGAACTGGAGGAGTGTTTTTATAGTTCAAAAAAAATTTAAGGCGAAATCCAAATGATTTAAAACCGATCTTATTAAATTAGTGGAATTAATTATGTGACCAAGAACATCATGTTTTATGTCTAAATGTATTTATTCTTTGAAATATAAATTAGTAGTTATATCAACTAATAATAAACAAATTTCTTTATTCTATAATATGTATATACTCATTTAGTATTTGTTCAATATAGATTGTTATTGTAAATAGATAATTATAAATCGTAATAGACTAAATAAAATGTAGTAGGTAAATTTATGATTAATGTTATACTTCAATAGTTATGAATTTACGTAACACCTATACAAAATTTGATTAGCAATAAATTTTATTATTTACTAATAATAATAGATATAGATACGATACCGTGCCGAAAATATTGTATGCTCATACTCAAAGATCATCTATGTTGAACTTTGAATTTACAATATTACATAATCAATACAAATAAACATTTACTGCAACATATTTATTGTAATTACGACTTCCAATGAGTATAGTGCATAAAATATAATATATACGCTTAGTGTTATATTATGATACTTGCACATTTTTTAATTTTTAAATAATAATTTATTTTATTTTAAGCGTAATCTTTTTACTATACGTATAAGAAGACATCTTATTCCACTACTTTATCTATATCTATATCTATATCTATATATATATATATATATATATCTACCACTATTATGTATGTAATAAATATTTTATTATATCTAATTTATAATTTTCTATTTAGTGTTTTAGGAGAATAACAAACCGTTGTAACAATTTGTATAATTGAAGCCAAATTATTATGTTAATAATCGCTATACATATGTAATATTATTGAAACAACTATGTGATTTGATATATTATGATAATGTTAATGAGTAAAAATATTTAAACAAGAAAAAACGTACACTTGAGTCGGGTTCGAAAAATTATTATTTTTTTTTTTTATTCTAAATATTATGGGTATTGCAGGTTTATATAACTTGGTTATTTAAAGTGCTCATTTACTTTAAAAACAAAACAATATTTGAAACTCCGTTATTGGTAATTCATCAATGTCATTTTTATTCATGATACAACCTTTTCAAATATTTAAATACTTAATTCTACATGTATGTATATTTAAATAATCTTTTAAGAACCGATGTGTTTTAGTAATATGTATACGTAGTTTTAATAAAAAATAGAAATGCATGGCATTTTAAAAATAGAAGTTATGCGTAGAATATAGGTAGTATATTATAATTTGACACGTATTGATATTTAGTTGATACTGACAATGCATAAACATTTTTCATTTATTTACTTTATCGATAAATGACACGTGTGCCTGAATAATTTTATATAAAACAACTTTGTGAGTATCTATAGTGTCTTTTTGGGTGGAGTTATATATCTATTATATGGAGTGACAAAAATATTTAATTTTTATAAATTTCTCTCAAGTACATATAAAAATGGTGTTTGTAGTAACCTCACGGTACTATAAAAAATAACGTAGAATGTTGTATAGGTTAATAAATATATAATTTAGCTCAAGAACGTCAATTGTGTACACGGGATAGATACATACTATAACTCCAAAAACAATGATCGAAGTTCTACGCATAGGATTATGGGAATACGCAACTACCCGCATCTACACTTCAAAATTTAAACTTTGTTAGTGAAAATCACGACGTATTTATAACATAATACTATAATATATGTATAATATATTATGTGATGATGTAGCCAGTTAGAAGAACGATCATCGTATGCTTCTCTGAGTATTATTTATAGATGTACGCAAATCGTGTAATATAATATTATTAACATGTTTATAATGTTTAATATATTATTATGTGTAACGATAGGTCGTTACTCGCTATTCGTTTAGGAACCCATAATTTCTGTGTTTCGTACAGAGAACTGGTTTCTCTTCTTTTTAATTTTTTTTTAATACGTATGATTTCTTCACCGTCGACGACCGCCGCAACTGCTGTTGCTGCCGCTATTATTACAATATAATAATAATAATAATAATAATATTATTATTGTTGTTGTTGTTGTATTATTCGTTTTTAATGTAGTCGAAAACCGCGCGCACGACGATTGTATATACCTACTGAAATTTGGTTGGGCGGGTACAGTGGTTACCATACCGCAGATTGCGTAGAGGGGATAAATGGACGATGGGAAAGTTTAGCCATGGCGTGAGATCTAAGGGGAGACGTGAACGAGTACATAGATATCTATATACTGCAACTCATCTGTATCTATATAGCTCTATAATAATGGTTTTATTATTATTACGCATGTATATTATTATTACTATATGTATATATGCATACGTATATATTCGGTCATTATAATCGAATAATATATTATAATACAAGTTAAAAAAACTGTGCATTGCGTTTTTTTATGCCCATTGGCTATTCTTGAAATTAAGTCATCAAGAGTGCACATCATAGGTACTTATACTTCGGTTACGGGCTAGTGCAGTTTTGTCGTAGGCACATCATAATATCACATCGTGTTTATAGTATATTATTATTAATTTATTTTTGCGAACTCGAAGAAAGATAATAATAAAATGCTCAAATAATATTTATTTTTTTTTTGTTTAATTTTTTGCACACTATTATTTTATCGATTGAAATCGGTCTTATTACAATAAAGCTACGTCTATTTATATGCTCATCGCACTGCTGCCGTCTTCCCTGAATTTTTTTAGTGTAGATAAATCATGACACTATTATAATTGTTTCTGCAATAATTGAAAAAAATTAGCAATAATTTCGATTTCAATTATTAATTTTTTATTCTAGATATTATTTATTAACCATAATATTATCTATAGAAAAAAAAAATAATAAATATATATTCTAATGTTTGTTAAAGATATTGTTTTATTTATCGGTATTTTGCGATACACATAATAACTATTAACTATCTATATATATTTATTATGTATACTTTAATGCACATTGCACACGGCTGCAAGGCCGATGCAGCAGATATATAAATATATTATACATTCTCAGGTAATCTCATCGAGGTCGCAACACTCGGGCGACGTGTATTACACTTAAAACATAATATATAATTTTAGATGATTGCACGTATACTATCTATGTATAGTGTACACATATTTTATACATATATACATTATAAGCGTTTATTACACGTTGTGTGTATACTTATTAGTCGTACCTTGTATGTGATGGTGATTGGTATCCGATTATAATATCCGCGGCGAGAGCTGGGTTTGGTCTGTATTACGCCTGTGGCTGCTGCTTCAGTTGTTCCGACTGGGGCAGACGACCTGTAAAACGCAAACATTTTTTTAATAGAAGACATTCATTATTTTGAAAACTATCAACACTATTAACATAAAAAGTATTTTTTATATAAATATATATATTTTAAAAACAATAATTTTTTTACTATTTTTATCATTCTAAATCTTTTATTTTTTGATTGATAATGTAAAATTTTGATTTTCAACTTAGATGCAAAATATTTTTTTTAGAATATTTTTGTTTATAAAAACTTAACTTTTAATGTGTATTTAATTAGTTATGACTCATGACTCATAAGTATCTCAAGTTTTGATGAATGATGTAGAGTGGTACAGGGATGTCCTACAGTGTTGGTTCTGCTACTCTGCTCTTCAAAACAAAAAATATTTGTAACAATACAATGTTTTATCTTATTGGCACTCACTACCTATAAGTAGCGTATATTGTGACCGTATAATAAGTGTCCCGTAACAGTAACGAGTTAATGGAACAGAACATAGTAGACGCGATAGCAATAACATTATTGCTTTTTTCATGCATAAAGAACTACAGTAAATTTATTTGCGAAGTATAAAACGTATTTCGAAATAGTACAGCAACTAGGAAGTTTCTAATTTGGTCAAAGCGTCATATTCATCAACCTTTTAAATATATAAAAGGTTATATATATATGGTTATAATATTGCGCAAATAATATAGGTAGATATACTTATCACACATCATATAAAATGAATCAATACTAGCGATAACTGTGTTTTAAGTATAGTAAGTATACTAGTTAGGTACAAAATAAAATCATGACCGAATGTCATTTGTATGATATGTAATCGATTCGTAATGTACAAAATAATTTAAATCGTACTAAACGTCAAAATCGGCCTATTGAGAAATAAAATAAAACTTATCACTACTGGATCATTATCCGTTTCAAAGATAAAAATACAATATAATGATGTACATAATATACCGTAGCTACCGTGATTTTAATTCAGGAACGAAATCATAACTCTACAACCGTATATTGTACAATAAACATGATTTACTATTTTTCTAGGTTGTGAATCTTAATGGTGACAAATGTATTCAATTCATAACCAGGAGAAGAAAAATTGAGTAGGTCATACTGTGATATTATAGTACATAATATTGTGCACGGAAATATAACCGACAAAACTTTTATAAATAGCAATTTTTTTTTCTTGATAATAACACAGTTTATCTTAAATGTATAAATTGTTATACATTATTAATATGCGCTCGTTTAAATGTCAGTTGTTGCAAGTATAATAATAATAATGTATTTTACATGCATTTAACCATAAAAAACAGTATTATAACATAATAATGCAGCCTGTCATCATTTTACATGCGAAATATTAATTCAAAATCTCAACGTATACCTACCGCAATTAAGAGTCCTATAGGTAAGCGAAGTCTTTATAATATACGATAATATTATGTAGAGGAAAAATTATAGGTATACCTACGTAATATATTTTAATTTTGTTATATCATTAATTCATCTATACTTATATATTTTTTAAGTCTCAGTAATATATATTATTTTTTTAAACTGAACGTCAATAATTTTTATCAGTAAAAACAGAATATTCTTAATATTCCAGTTAAAAAAAAAATAAAACATTGTAATTTGTTAGCATATATTATTATATCGTTGATGTAGATAGCCAAGGCTAGGAACATCTTATCTTAAAATTAAAAAAAAGAAGAAGTTATATCGTAATATTGATCAAGTTAATAAAATTTATTATATAAATATTTTTATAACCATGTAGATAATTTAGTAAAAATTTTTTATATTCACTTACTGTTCACCTAGATGTGACATAAATACATATTATATTTAGATGATATTTCATTGTGTATACAACGATAGCTACATCCTTAAAACCGTCTTTTCAAAGAAGTACAATAATTACTATAATTTTTAAAATAATATGTAGAAAAATTATCAATTGTTTTTCTTCTCAAAGTCGAGACTTCTCGAGTATAAAAGCTAAATTATTGATGTTCTAGGATTCAATGGTTAAATTTAAATATATATATATATTAATTGTTATAAATGCATACATACCTATTCTAAAATGTTATGAAATATTATGATATTCGTAATATAGAGTTACAATGTAGTGAGTGGAAGTTTGCGATTAGCGATTAACGAATAACTATACCAATGAAGACTAAAACCAATTAAATAGCCATAAGAAAATACTACTGGTAAAATGTTAGTTTTTTTTTGTATCTCACAATTATTTTGATAAATACTGGACATTTTTATTCTTTTGATCTTCCAAAGTTCAAAAATGGTCTAATTTGCTTCAAAAAACCACTTTGAGTGAAGTTATAGAACAAAGCATTATTACTACAGATCTACTAGATGATGGCAGACACAAAAAATAAAAATTAAAAATATGCATGCCATTGGCAAACTAATAAAATCGCTCCATTCAAAATGTATAAAAAATATATCAATTTATATACTTCACAGAAGCAACCCTGTGTTAGAGTCAGATAACGATATCGGTAAATGAACAATTTCAATTATTAACGTATATTTATGGTACACTGAACATTATCTGTAATATATTCCACCTCACCGAAAGCACTATATTATAATATGTAATAAATACTACATAAATGTACATACTGTATAACATGCGTACCTATAGATAGTGCACACACTAGTGTATTACTGTTAAACGTATGCTCACACGATAAGTGTGATATACATAAATATGTCATGTATGTCTCAGGTTTGGTGCAATAAATTATACATACGTATATGACGTGTGCATGCGTGTACGTACAGTCGAGCGTGTCTGCACTATTCGAACGAGAACGACGTCTAAATCGCGTCCGTGCAAGTATAGACTATAAGCACTATAAGCATATAAGACAACATTCGTCTAGACGCGCTACATAATATAATATATCATAGTATCTACTTAGTGCCTGGTGCCTACCTACGTTTATGATCTGAACGTATTTTGAGGTTGATAGATCGGACGCAAAGAAAAAACAATAATTAAAATCATACATTGTGTATAGCCGTGACATACCTATAAATGACACATTTTCTGTACACAATATATAATATATTATTATAGTGACGTCCGATTGGTGTTTTGAGATTACAAACGCATTACAGTTGAATTGAAAGTAATGTTGTTGCTGCTAACCGGACAAAATATTGTTATAATACATTCTATCGTGGTAATGAACTATTATTATATTATAATACAGTATGTAATGTGTACACTATGATAGTACTGTAAATGTGCGAAAACGTATTAAACGGTCAAAAATTCGATATATTATAATATTGTACATATATAGAGTTAATATTTTTTTTTTTAACTAGGTCATTATGCCAGCTGCGTTAATTTTAGTTTCTTACAAATGATTTTGTCAGCGGGTCAACATTAATTTACCAGGAATGTCAAAATTAAATACCAAAATTATTAAGTACAATTATTTATATTTTAAAAATAAAAAATTACATTTTAAAATGTATGAAAACTTTATTTAATGAATTTTGAGAGTGAATTTGAAATTTATCTTCTATTATAAATTAAGTTAACATGTACGACAAATACAAATATTTAATAAGTTAAACTAATAAAATTAAAAAGACTAAGTAATTCATTAAATGATAAATTCAAAATTAAGTTATTGATTTGTTAATACCTGTGTATATCACGTATTTTTAATAAATATATGTTTAAGAAATAATTTATTAAAATATATGAACAAATGACTTGTATTATTTCTAGACGTAAATTATGTTTTCTGAGATTCAACGATGTATTTCAAATCAATTGACCTGTTAGAAAAAATTAAATAATAATAAACAAAATACAAATTCATTATTCTTAATTCCCAGGTATAATATTACAAAACATTAATTTAAAAAAAAATTGTTGCATATAAATGCCGTTTTTATTGATGCTAAAAATTTAATTAAAAACTTTATTTTAGTGTAAAATATGTTTTAATAATATAAAAGACTACATTATTATTTATTTTTTACATGCCATCATTATAAAAATTTATTTTTTCATTGATTATGGTGTGATGATAGTCCTTTTAAAAAGCATTATAAGTACACCACAAAATAGATTCATGATTAAATATAAATATTTACTGTAGCTACATGTAGTTAAAACATGTAGCTACAGTAAATATGTATAATGCAGAATTTTATTATTTATACCTGTAACATATAATACAATTCTATTAAATATGTGACCCATTCAATACAATTTATTATATCATCAAACTATTGACATTTTTTATAATTAAAACCTGAAATTTTCTAAAAAAAAATATTATTTTTAAAATTTTTATCGTAACTTATTTTTTTTTTTAATGTTTTTCTTTTTTTTAATATATATTTTTAATTTTTTATTTCAAAGAAGACTAATTTTTTTGTGATTTTGATAATATGTACATAAAAACCGTATTTTAGATAATTAGTTTATGAGCTATAAGTATTTAAAGTATAAACAGTGAAATGGAGTGGTAGAAGGGTACTCTACTAACCGTTTTCCATTACTCAGTTCGCACATAATTTTAAATATGCATAGTTAAAAAAAAAATAAATTTAAAATCATCAGTGTTTTTTGAAATAATATGTGTCTTATGTTTAATATATCACCCCGTATAAAGTCTTTTAAATTGTGTTACAATGTTTTCATAATTTTTTTCTGTCTAATTATTTGTTTTAAATTTATAGAAAATTAGCTTTTTATAATAATTTATTATTATTTCGGATAAATGACGATTGAATAATATATTTGCAATTTAATGTAATTATGATTATTTATTTATTCTAAAAGTATCGAAAAACATACTAAGCAAATTGTGTGTATCTATGTAGTTAAGAACGTGCATTTTAAATTTAAAATAATTTTTTTTTTTAAGTTAAATTATTTTCTAGGTATCTGTATAGTTATAGAAATATGCTTAATATGTTTAAAAATCCAATTATTTACATCAACAC